CTCACTGCTCTGAGGGACCCTACCAATGCCACCCCAGTGAGGACTCTATGGGAGGCAGAAGATGACCGCGGCTGGCCCAGCCCATCCACGCGTAATGATGCACGCCAGCAGCTGGATTAAGTGTACTGGCCCCGCCCCAGGTTGCAGGAGAGGGGGGAATCCATCAGTTCATTCCTGCACCAGGGCTGTGTCCAGCATTCTGGAGGGGTGCCCCAAACAGCACCTCAACTGCAACAGCCCTGTTGAACATCTGGGGTAGAGCACTGCCCTAGCCATGCCCACTTGCGCTCAGGCCACACGGCCTAGCAGGGAGGAACCCTGCTCTAGGAGGGCTAGGGGCCTTTATGGGAGCTTTGCATTGCACCAGCATAAAGTGGACACAGGGCATCACAGATCACCCCCAGGGCTCTGTTCCTGCACCCTGCTTCTTCCTGCTGGCGCAGTGCTGGCTGGGAACCCTTGGGGGAATCGCCCAGAGGGGGAAGCTGAGCAGGGGCAGGTTCAGAGGAGCAGCCTCTTCTTTGTGCATTATGCTCAGGTGCTGCACGAGGCTGGGGTTTATAGCCGGGGGCGATGTGGGCAGCAGCTGGATTTTGCTACGAGCACAGGAGTCAGCAACCTGTTTTGTGTGAGTATCAAACACTCGTCCTCCTGCAAAAAGTGGAATGGGGTTATCACAGGCCACACGTGTCAGGACCTGGCTCTAATCCTCCTCCAAATTGTTCCCCTAGCACCGCACTGGGGTATTGGTTCACTCTGGGCTAAGGGGGAAGAGCGCCACCTCCTGGATCACCAGCATCTCTGCAGCACCTCCTGTTGCTCAGAGGCCTCCCCCCCAAGTACCAATCCAGGCTCACTCTGCTTTAGCCCCGATTCAGGAAAACCCTTAATTGTAGGCATGTGCCTAAGTTAGGGTGACCAGATGTCCCGATTTTATAGGGACAGTCCCAATATTTGGGCTTTTTTCTTATATAGGCTCCTATTACCCCACACTTCCTGTCTCTATTTTTCACATTTGCTGGTCACCTAGCCTAAGTCCCACTGACTTCAATGGGATTTAAGCATGTGCTTAAGGAAATGCACCTGTTTAAGTGCAGTCCTAACGCGGGAGGCTTTCCTGAATCAGGGCCTTTGTTTGTTAGATTTGCAGCATAAAGTGCTCAGATGTCCCTGTGTACCCGAGAGCCAGATTGCAAGAGTCCTCTGTGGTGACATCTTTCCATGTGACCAAAAAGCCACCCTCAGCGGAAGGAGAAGCTGACGACTTTGCAGTTCCAGTTTTAGCTAGAGGTTGTTTCCACTAGGGCCAAACGGAGAGGGGTGAAGATTTCCCATCGCAAACACTGCAGTATATCAAGGCTGTATTACACCGCATCCGCCCCCCCGACGCCGCTGGCTACTAGGGAAATGTAGGGCATCATAATCGGAGCAGCAGCGGAGAGTAAAACATGTACATCTACCCCCAGGAGGGAGGGAGAAATCCCAGAACAACTCCCGCTCTGGTCATGGGCTGCCTTTTCCACACCGGATCACTGAAGCTTCTTGTTCACACTGAACTCTACCTTCAGGTGAAGTCTGATGCAAGGAACAGGAGTTGCTACACCCACCTAGTCTGAGCTCCATTCTCCTGAAGTGCCTAAATACCAGATGCTGCAAAGGAAGGTGTAAAAGCCGAGAATGCACCCAGCTATGCAGTAGTATCCCAGAGGGGGCAATTTCTTTCTGATCAGTTTATGGCCCTGAAGCTTGAGGATTGAGAACTCCTATAGCCTATTCTGTTTTATGTCACAGGGCCTGATCCAGCACCATTACAGTCAACGGGAATTGTCTTCAATGGGAGCAGGATTGGGCCCACTGGAGGTACAAGTCATGTTCATGTAATGCGTTTTGGCTCCGACCAAGCTATTTGCCTCCAGAAATATCCTGCAGCAGCGAGTTCCACAGGTTAATTAGGCAAAGGGCATCACTTGATCCATTCTAAATTCGTTGCCTTTTAATTCAGTGTGGCCCCCTGAGTGCAAGATGCTGACTGCAGCCCTTTTCATCCAGGGAGGCAGAAAAGCGTTTCACAAAGGGAAGTGAGCTCCGGTTTTCTGCCCTGCCTCCCTGGCTCGGTCTCTGTTACTCAGAAAAATCTGCCTGCTGCTTCTTAAAAAACAAAATCCAGAAGCACTTATTTTTAGAAAACGTTCAGCTAGAATGTCTTAAAAGCAATAGGCCAGCTGCAATCCATCATTTTTCCAAACATTTTTGGCACATTCCTCCCTTCCCCCTAAGATTCTTACGCCCATTTACATTAGGGTAACTATCTATTATGCAGCTGTGCAACAGTTTGTGACTCATCTTCAGTCAGAGGGAGGCACACGGAATAAAGAGCTCTGCTGCGCTCCCAAAGCAAACAGGTCATTGTGTGTGCAAAACAGGGCATCTCGGTGTGCAAAATGGGCAACTGCGCATGCAGATAGATACCCAGTGCACATGCAAAAAGGTAGCTGCGGGTGCAAAGCACCTTTGTGCATGCAAACAGGGTCCTTGCACTTGCAGGCAGGTACTTGTACATTGGAACAGCGTATGCAGGTAAGCAGTCTTGCACGTACCAATGCACATTTTGCTCATAAGCCTGGTCACAAGCATATTTTGAAAGTGGAGCTTAGGGCCCAGATCCTGCATTGCATTCCAGTGACACTCAGTGCAAATCTGCAATGGTGGACTCCAGGGCAGGGTGCAATTGGTTAGCATACAGCCCCTATAAAGCAATAGTGGGTGGAGTAATGTTAAGGTTATGAGTTCAAGTCTCATCTACAGCACCATGCCATTCCCCTGATTCTGGGGCCGGCTGAGGACAGGCTCAGATCCAGCTGTAAATTAGTTTCAGGGATAATCTAATTTATGTCTGGCTGCCCATTGCCCCACCAAGCTCTTCTAGCAGGGGACACCCCTTTTATCCCTTTCTTTGGAGACTGGGAGTTGGAGACAGGGCTGGCTCCAGGCACCAGCTGAGCAAGAAGGTGCTTGGGGCGGCCAAGGGGAAGGGGCGGCACGTCGGGCTCTTCGGCAGCAATTCGGCGGAGGGTCCCTCGGTCCCTCTCGGAGGGAAGGACCTGCCGCCGAATAAGAAAGCGGCGCGGTGGAACTGCCGCCGATCGCGAACGCGGCTTTCCCCCCCCCCCCCCCCCGCCGCTTGGGGCGGCAAAAACCCTGGAGTGGAGCCGGCCCTGGTTGGAGACTGGGAGTTTGCTAAAGTGACCATATAATGCTAGAGGATCCCAGGCAGGGGGAATCCTCGGGGGGCAGGATCCACCGGCTTTCCAGATGTAGGGTGACCAGATGCCCCTATCGAGATGTTTTGAGCAATGCTACTGTAAGTCCAACAGACCCCAGTCGTTGGCGGGCACTGGGCAGGATCGAACTGGGGACTTCTGGAGCGTAGTGCATGAGCCTCTACTGCATGAACTAAAAGCCAACCGGCTGTTAGCGAAGGCTGTAGAGAAGACTCCTTTTAACTCTCTCTCTAAGTGATCTCGGTGCCCCTAGATGGGACAGCACACCCCACCCAGCAGGTGGGTGGGTTACACTACCTTTCTCAAGCAGCCAGATACTGGGCCAGGATCCAGCCCTAGGTGTCTGCAGTCGAAAACAGCTGCCCCGTTGGGAATTCTAAAGGGCAGCACCTCCAAAGAGTGCAGCTGTTCATCACAAACCATCGGAACCTCTTTGGTCTGGGAATCAGGGATGGAAACCATGGCGCAGGTCCCATGTGGCTTCCCCAAGAATTCCTGGTTCTGGCAGGATTGGGAGAGAACGGCCACTGGGAATAACTTAGGTGCTAGGAGCATAGGCAGTAGAGTAGGGGATCTGTGCTTCCTGCCCTGGCCGAAGCTGGGAAGTCCCTAGTGGCTGAAGGGTAACGCACAGAGGTTGGGCACAAGTACAGACAGGACAGCACTGTGTACACAGACCCTAACACTGCTGATTTGAAACTCCTAGACTCCCTCCTGCCCCAATTTCAAATCCCTCCAGGGTCAGTTCAGACTTTCCTCCCTCCTCCATAGCAAGATTGAGTCCTGTTGCGTGAGAGTCCTTCGGATCAAACGATAAAAGCCTAGGTCCTGCATGAGAGTGGGGGCTTGACTGTATGTCATTGCCTCTCCAGCCTGTTGTGTACAAGTTGCCCATGCTCTGCCCCAGAGGTGGCTGCATTTTTACTGTGTGTGTGTGTGAGAGAGATCTGCAAAGTGCTTTGGGAAGATCACATGGAGTTTTAAGACTAAAAATCCCAAGCTTTTTTAAAACTTCAAAGGAATGTCTAGGGTTGAATTTTGGGTCAGTTATGTTTCTATACCTCTCTTTGTCAATAAGAAGGTGCAGAAGAAGCAACCCATTTGCCTGTGCGGCAGCCCGGGGTGGAGTGGGGTGGGGGGGAGAGACACTCACAAAAGAACCGCTACATTAAAGCAGGGATGGAATGAAAGGAATGTTCCCCCCACACACACACACCTGCTTGCTCCCTCCCTCCTCTCCAGACTCAGCAACAAAACAGAACCGAACTCTGCTTCAGACAGTGAGATCCAGGGACTAGCAAGAGAAAAGGAGCCCATTGACTTTGATGGCAGTTCCGGGTGTGAAGCACCTCTCAGGATTTGTCCACTAGTTATTTAGGGATTCCCCCCTACAGGGTTGAATGGGGGGATACTATCCCCAGGGGAAGATTTCGGGGGAGGAATCCATTCCATTGGTGCGAGCCATTTGCTCCCCAGAAATAACCTTAAGAACCGGGGCTAAAGTGCAGCCCTTCTCCAGCAAGACGGTTTAGGGAGTGGCAGGAGATTCCCATCCCCAACTCCCTGCACCAGCCTGGACTCCAAATATTTCCCCCTCTAGTTCTGGCTACAAGGGACGGCAGCATGGCTGGCATGATTCACATGGCACACTGGATTGCCAAGCACTTGGCAGGTCCCTGAAAGGAAGTGAGCAGGAGCCTGGCTAATTTCCTTACTTACCGTTACGCTCTTGGGATCGAAGGTGGGTTCCTTTGGGGGTTCTGGTGCCGGTGCTGGCGCTGCTGCTGGGGCTGGTGCAGGAGCAGGCTTGGCTGCCTCTTTCTTTGGTTCAGGTTTCTTGGGGGCCATGGTGCCGGGTTCTTTGCAAAGGAGCTGAGAAGGGTCTTCCCACCCCACAAGGCAACAGACCGAGGGACAAAAGGCAAAGTCTGCTCCTTCCCCTTATATACCCAGCCCGGTGCTCACACCAGAGGGGCAGGCCAGCTGCAGGAGCAACTGCTACTTACTATAAAAGGAAGAAACTCCAAAGAGAGGGGCCTGCTCAACAATTGCCCATTGTCATCAGCTCCCGGAGCCCCGAGAAGCCAGCAGCCATCACCCCCCCCCCCATTGGAAAGGGGCGCCTGGTTCATTGGCTGGGGTGGATCAGGGCTGCTTCCTAAAAGATCATCAAAAAAGAAAAATACAAATGGCAGGAAAATAGGAACAGGCCGGCTGATAAATCTGCCCCAATACCCAGGGGGGAAAGTGTCTTTTTATAGGCAAGCCTGCGAGTGCAAATACTGCCGATTCCTTTTAAGCCCCGGATCTGCTAGCTGCCACCTCTCAGCCGCTCATTGGAATATTTGAGGCCTGCCCCTCTGGCTCTGACCTCTGCTGATGAGCCTTTTTAAATATCCCCTGGGCCCTGAAAGTTGCCTGCGGCTTTTCTCTGTCCTCTTCCCCCGCCCCCAGAGTCTGCTGGTCCTAGGGGGGTTTGCCCAAGCGGGGTTGGGGCAGGAGGATCTGGGCTTGCTCAGAGGGGTATCATCGTTTCTGTCGCTTTGCAGGGTACTCAAAGTCACATTTTCCACAAAATTTTAAACAGAGTGCTGGCCTGAGCCTCTATGTTTTATTACATAGAGACCCCGACTGAGATCAGGACTCTATTGTGTTAGGTGCTGTACGTACATAGTGTGGAACAGTCCCTTCCCCAGACAGCTTACACTCCAAATAGACAAGACAGACAAAAGGTGGGAGGGGAAACTGAGGCACGGAGCTGGGAGGTGACTTGCCCAAGGTTACCCAGCAGGCCAGTGGGAGAGCCAGGAATGGAACCCACATATGACACCCAGTCTAGTGTTTTATCTATGATGCCACGATGCCTCTCTTGACCTCTGCTGTAATCAGGCATTGCCTCCAAGCACTTATAGAGGAGGGTCTGGCAGGGTGTAACCGTTTCATGGCTGGATTTTCCTGGTGGCACTCAGTTACAGGGCCCTGGTCAGTAGCCATGAGTGAGTGGGAGTACATTCCACCAGCTAAGCCGGCATATGGGAATCTAACGACCCTGAGTCTAAGTTGGTGTACTGTTATCTGGCACAAGGCTGGAAGAAAGAGGCCCAGCAGGGAAGCTAACAAGGCAGTGTGAGCCGGTAGTTAAGAGAAAATCCTCCCTCTAGTCCTGTCCCTTGGCATGTGCGTTGCACCAGTTTAGATTCCTTTACAGTCCCTTGCCCCCGCTGAGCAGAGTGCACCACACAGCACCATTTACATCCCTTCCGCATCCCACGTGGCTCATCCCGTCCTCCCCTGTTAAAGTCAATAGAGTTTCACTGGATTGAAGTCAATGCAGAATGTGGCCCAGTGTCTTTCAGGCCCTGTCTGCTCAAGGCTGGCACCACCATGCTTGACGTCTCTTTCCAGCCCTGGCTGTGGCCAGCATAACGCAGTGACTGTGGGCAGGGATTTGGTTTCAATGCTCATGCTGGCTGGCCCCATCCTGCCTTAGATCAGCCCTCCCTCTGTGTCGGGCCTGGATGCAAAACTGTGTTTGGCTGTAACTGTCTCTGCGACTGGGGTGCTCTACTCACCACAGGACAGCGCCTCCTCCTGGCCATTCTGGGGATTAGCCCTTCCAGGCCAATGCGCCTTCCAGCAAGGACACTCTGTCAGTCTCAGCCTGCGGCCCCGCTCTCACTCCGGGAATCACAGGGTGCTCTTTGTGACTCGGCTCTCCAGCCAGGTCGCTGTCTAGTTTCCTCTTCCGGGAGTGTGTAGCAGAGTCCCTGCTTGCCAACCATCTCAGGCAGTCCTCTCATTCACTGCCCCAGGGGGTGCTCCCGCGGTGGCAGGTAGGGGGAACCTGGAGACACCCTCTCCTCCGGGTTCCGGCTCAGGGGCGCTTTAAACAGCAGCCAGTCTGTTCCCTACACCTGTCTGCCTTTCCCTGAGCTTCTTCCTTACTGCCTGGCCCTCCCCACTCCTCTGGGTTTGCCAGCCTCTCAACTCCCTCCTCCCAGGGAGTAACCGTGGCTTACTTGTCTCTGCAGCCCCCAAACACCCCTCCTCCCAGGGAACAAGTGCAGCCAACTTCCCAGCACCCCCCTCTGCTGCCAGTTTCCTGTTTTTATATAAGCCCTGCGGCCTCTTCCTTCCCAGGTGAGCTTCCTCCCGATTAGTTTTCTCCAGCCTAAATCTCCCATTTGCAGCTTCATTGGCTGATTGGGCCCACTCGGCCTCATTCACCTCTGGCAGGGCCGGGCTGGAGAGTACACCCCGGCCGGGCTGTGGATGGGACCCCGGAGAGGACATTTCTGAGAGCAGCCTCACCCTAAGGAGAAGTGGGGGGGGGGCCCAGGCTGACTCTCTGTACTGAATCAAGGGATTTGCATTTTTATAGCCCCACGAATGGGGATTGGCTGTGCTCTCCACGCTCTCACTTAACAGAGTGTGGAGCAGCTTCCATGCCACACACACAATACACCATGGGGGTTTGCACCAGGCTGCACAGTTCTCCCCCCCTTCCCCCACTGTGAGTAATAATTCCAATGAGCTCAGCCGACGGCGGGGAAACTCCTCTGAATTCGCTTTGGTCATCAGTTGCCTTGGCCTTTAGCCATGTCTGGCAGTGGCTAATGCCTGGCGCCTTTCTTCTCCCCAAGCATTGTCTCTGCAAAGAGTGGGAAGAGACAGAGGTTGAGCAATAGAGTTTCCTGTGTGAATAACTCCCCTCTGATCCTATGGCGCAGGGCCGGCTCCAGGCACCAGGCACCCAAGCTGGTGCTTGGGGCGGCACCTGGAGGGGGGCGGCGCGGCGCTCTGGCCGCCGGGGGGAGAGCGGAGCCCCCGCCGGGGCTCGCCGCCCTCGCCCCGGGGCTCCGGCCGCCTTCCCCCCCGGCGCCCTCCCCCCCCGGGGGGGGCTTTGTTGCCTGGGGCGGCAAAAAAGCCAGAGCCGGCCCTGCTATGGCGGCACTTCCACATGGCACCCTCTCCTGCCCCTCTCTGCTGCTTCAGCATTCCTCCTTCCAACCGTTTTAAGGCCATGGGAATGGGATTGGCATTTTTTTTATCCCCTCCATGGAGCATGGGGATGTGGCCACAAAAGTCCCCCTGCCAGGGGCACAAACACCCAGTGAGCTTGCTCTGATGCTGGCATTGATGCTTGCAATTTGATACCTGGGAAATTCACTCTTGACAAAATCCATAGAGCCGTAAAGACATAAGGTGCCAGGAATCTGGATTTCCTGCAGAACTGTTAAAAGGCGCTGGACCGGCTATTCTTTCGTAGCTGCAGATGCTGTTCAATATTATCTAGAGAAGAAAGGCGGTCCCGTCCGACTGGGAAAAAGCTATTATTTTACTGCTTTGGAAACACAAAGGTAGCAAACGAGACTCGTGTAACTATGGCGGTATTAATCTTCTATCCATCCCGGAGAACGTTTTTGCTTCTGTCTTGTAGGCCCGAGCTGCTGATATCTTAAGGAGCAAGAGAAGACCGTAACAAGCTGGCTTCACTCCTGGCTGTTCCACGGGGGAGCAATTCTTCACAGTATGCCCGCTTATTGAGAAGGCATGAGAATTCAAGCGCCCCGTTCACACTGCATTTGTGGGAATTAAGCGGCCTTTGTCTCTGTTGACAGGGCATCGCTCTGGCTGATCTGGAAACTCGCAGGCATGTCTGACAAGCTCTGTGAAATGCTCCCTCTCTTCGGTGGTGATGCCTCAAGCTGTGCTCTTGGAAATGGGAAAAAAAACACCTCAAGTATTCGACAGGATGCGTCGCCGCCTCAGAACCCTTGGATGCTGTCATAGACTATGTGTTTGACCGGAGGCTAATTAACTGTAATTTAGGCATATACACCTGGATGAGAAGAACCTTATCAATGTCGATTTTGCCAACCCCATAGTGCTAGCTGTCGAGTCAATGGACAAGCTGGTTGCAGTAGTTAAAGCCCTGGAAATTCAGGGGCAAAAGTCATCCTGAAAATTAACTGGGGCAAAACCAGCATTCTTTTGGCTGGCAATTTTGATACCTGCTGCAGGCTCTAGCATCTCGGTGGGCAACCACCCAACTGAGATGGTTGGTGATTTCACCTATCTCGGCTCTGATGTGGACAGCATTAGAAAAGAACTTGAAGCCCACACTGCAAAAGTGTCTCCAGTAACGGGGTGCTTCATCAAGAAAGTATTTCCCAAAGCAGCACCCTGGTAAGTGGAGAAATGAAGCTGAGGATATACAATGCTTCGGTGGTCAGGAAAAGAAGTTGGATGTCATTCAGATTAATGGGACTGTTCATCTTAGAAAAGAGGTGATGGGGGGGGGTATATAATAGAGGTCTATAAACTCCTGAATGGTGTGGACAAAGTGAATAAGGAAGTGTTACTCCTTCACACACCACAAGAACTAGGAATCACCTGATGACATCAATTGGCAGCAGGTTTAAAACAAACCTAAGGAAGTACTACTTCATACAACGCACAGGCAACCTGTGGAACGCATTGCCAGGGGATGTTGTGAAGGCCAAAAGTATACCTGGGTTCAAAAAAGGATTAGATAAGCTCATGGAGGATACATCTATCAATGAGTATTAGCCAAGACAGTCAAGGACACAACCCAACACATCCAATGGCTTAAATTCAAGTCAAATGAAGAGATCCGTCTTCTAACTAAACAGGTCCCACTCTCTCAAATGGTTGCCCAATGGTCTCTACGATGGTATGGTCATTTGCTCTGAATGCCTGTGAGAATCCACTTTGACTTTGCTCCAATGAAAGCAGGATGGAAAAGACGCCCTGGAAGAACTAAAACATGATGGCTGGACAGTGTCAACAGATACCTGTCTCTTACAGGCACCCGATCTCATAATGTGCCTGAGTTGGTTAATGAAAGAACATTGTGGAGGCACATAACACATTCAATGACCTCTACTCTGTCCAGACAGCATAGAATCATAGAAATGTAGGACTGGAAGGGACCACGATAGGTCATCTGCTCCAGTCCCCTCCACTGAGGCAGGGCTGTATGAGAACTAACTAATTTGATACCCCGCTGGTGAGCACTGGTGGGTGGAATTTCTCTGGAAATGCTCAGGTCTAACCTTCTCTCCCAGCTGGAACAGATTCTCCTTCTCCTGCTCCTGAAACTGAATTAATCCCATAAACCCTTGCCCCTGCAC